CAGGAGTGTGGCCAGATAGGGGGAAGCACCACCCTGGAAGAAATGATAAACAAAGACGAGTATTTTGAATTGTGAGCGATAGGAAATCGGAAGCCAGTGCAGGGAGGCCAGAACTGGACTGATGTGGTCCCGTTTCCTGGTCCCAGTCAGGAACCTGGCAGCGCTGTTCTGCACAACCTGTAGGCGACGCAATGTTGACTGACACAACCCTGCGTAGAGAGAGTTGCAGTAGTCAAGCCGAGAAATTACAAAGGCATGCAGTACCCGCTCCAGGTGGGCTCTCGACAGCATATGCTTGATTTTAGCAAGGCGTCTCAGGTGAAAGAAACTGGACCGGATCACAGAATTGATGTGAGCATCAAATTTAAGTCCTACATCAAGTTTCACCCCCAAACTGGTAACAACTGGTTTTGAGTATGGAGGAAGAGGGCCAAGATCAGCATAACGATCCACATTCCTGCTGTTGGGGTGAAAAACAATGAGCTCTGTCTTTCCCTCATTCAGATGTAGATAGTTGGACATTAGCCAAGACTTCACCTCAGTAACACAGGAGACAAAGGACTGAATAGAGTGACCTTTCTCCTGACACAATGGAGAGTAAATCTGGCAATCGTCAGCATACAGATGGAATGATAGGCCATGTTTACGAAAGATTGACCCCAGAGGTAGCAGATAAATGGCAAACAAAAGTGGACCAAGGATCGACCCCTGCGGGACCCCCCACCGGAGCCCCTCCCAAGAAGAAAAAACATCACCCAGTTTAACACAGAATGTCCTGTTTTGGAGATACGATCTAAACCAGTCCAGAGCTGACCCTTTGATCCCAACCCATCGTTCCAAGCGATCAAGTAGAATCGCGTGGTCAACTGTGTCGAAGGCTGCTGTCAGGTCTAATAACAGAAGCAGCACAGATGTTCCGTGATCTAGTGATAGATAGATGTCATTTAGGACCCTCAGTAGAGCAGACTGTGCTATGGCCAGACCTGAACCCTGATTGGAAAACCTCAAACAGATCAGAGTCAGCTAAATGTGAGACCAGCTGCTGATAAACGACTTTCTCAAGCAGTTTAGATGTAAAGGGCAGGGTAGAGATAGGCCTGTAATTTTCGATCACAGAGACATCAGCACCAGGTTTCTTCAGGGTCGGCCGAATAACTGCTGCTTTCAAAGCAGCTGGGACCACACCTGTGCTGAGGCTCCCATTGATAATCTGACCAAGTGAAGGGCCAAGGCACGGAAAGGCAGCCTTCCAGAGACGAGGCGGTAGAACATCAAGTGGAGAGCCAGATGGCTTCTGCCTCGCAACTAGCTTACTCAGCTCAGAGTATGAAACAGTATTGAGGGAGCTCAGGGTCAGGGTGGGTGGTAATGGATGAACTGGAACAGGGTCAATAGAGTTACCAGAAATAGCTGCTCTAATGCCTGATACTTTATCAACAAAGAATTTGTGAAAAGCTTCAGAGTTTCCAGCAGCTGTAGGAGACATGGTGCTAGGCTCCTGATACACCAGAACTGAGTTTAGCGTTTTGAAGAGAATCTTAGGATTATTGGAGTTAGTCTCAATGATGTCTGCAAAATAGGCCATTCTGGCGGCCCTCACTGCATCCTGATAAGCAACCAGAGATGCTCTGAACAACTCACGCGAGACCTGTAGGCCATCCTTTTTCCACTTTCTCTCAGAGGATCTACACGCCCGCCTACAAGTGACATCAGAGAGCCAAGGCTCCCTCCTAGGCCGAGACTTGCAAAGCTTGAGAGGGGCAACCACGTCCAGGACCTGATTACAAAGTACATCAAAGTGTTGTGAATAGTGATCAACGTTAGATGGATCTGGGTTAAAGGTCTCTAACCTTACAGACATACAGTCCACAAACTTTGAAATAGTTTCTGCATCCAGGGCTCTGAACCTAGTAGCTGGAGCTTCACACACAGGGACAGGACATGGCAACGTAACATCACAGAGTATTGGAGAGTGGTCAGAGAACACAGGAGGCAAAGAGAACATGTAGCTGCTGAGTTTTATCATCAAGCCAAACTCCATCATCTAAAGAACTACCAGAACTAATGTCTTAGAGCATTTTTCCCCCTCTTTGCAAAGTTTTATATCTGTTGTAAACCAGCGATCTGTAGCTTCTAAATAAATCCCAGCTGGTCTCTCCTGCTCCCTCTCCTCCCTTGACTCCTCCATCCTTTCTGCTCTTAATTTTTCACATTGAGTCAGCTAACGCACTTTCCAGCTTCTCCGGATCCTCCCAGAGGAAGCCAGTTAGACGACTGGTGATGCTCGGTGTGATTGGGTGGGTGGCCTTGATGTCACGGTGCGGTTTGTGTCAGCATTTTAAACCATGTGACCGTATGAATAAAGCATGATGTGGCGGGCAGCGTGGTGGGCAGGGACTGACATTAGAACAAGCTCAGCCAGTGTTTTGGCGATGGCGGACAAGCTAACGCTTAAAGTTTAATGGGGGCAAGGGGGCTTGGCACAGTAGGAGGAGAGAAGCAACGTCTGTGTGTGTGTGTGTGTGTGTGTGTGTGTGTGTGTGTGTGTGTGTGTGTGTGTGTGTGTGTGTGTGTGTGTGTGTGTGTGTGTGTGTGTGTGTGTGTGTTTGTGTGTGTGTGTGTGTGGCTGACATACACACTGCTTTAGCTGGTGGGGTGAATAAGTGATGCTAATAGACACACATGTGTGATGGATCAGGGTCACACTGCGCCACTAGTGGGAAGTGAAAAAGTTCCATCAGCTTCTCTTTTGTATTTTAGCTTAATCCCTCTCTTACGGAGCTGTTGACCTCCCAGAATCCTGTGCTTTCATTGGTCTGTGTTCATCCAAACGTCTCAGCAGTGTTTCAGATGCCCCACCGTTCTCCTGACTGTTTATTTACTTGTAGGATTGTGAGAACATTGAGTAATGTGTCATTCTGGGTGCTTTGGTTACATTTTCCCAGCTAGCTAATTTCATTTGTTATTTCTGCAGCCATGTGCCAATGCTGCTTCGCCATCAAATCTAGAAGTATTGATTTATTGCATCTTTGGGCCAGTAAAAAATGAGCCCATTTAGCTTTTAGAAGAAATTCTGCAAATGCATTTGTTTCTTTGTTCATTCATTGAAAATGTTGCAGAAAGTTAAAGGTGTAGTTGTACGAAGACAGAATTTTCTCCCGTCAAACCACAGACATCATATACGTAGACACCCAATGGACTAGTGCTGCCTATTGGAGCAGTCTGCCATCTTGGATTGGTTTCCCTTCACCCCCAGTGCATTTATTTCAACTGAAGAAGGTGTTTACCCAACGGAAAAACACATTTTATTATGCTATTTCTCAAAGTTAGACTTGTGGTTTGCATGATAGTTCAAATATACATTTAGTTAAAAAATTTTAATATAAAATTCCAACAGGTAGGCTATAAAAGTCAATAACAAGTCCACAAGATCTGTTTTCATTAGTGCACCGGTTGTTGCATCTGAACTGAGCTGGAACAAAAGGGAGCAATAGACAGCAGGATTTGGAGTCCTTTTTCCTGATATTTGGACATCTCACCTCTGAGATAATCAGAGGATTGAGTGAATGAATGAATCAGGCTCACAAGGATGTAAAAACTGCTAGGCATAGGTCGGTGGCCACCTGGGGCCCCCTTATGTTGGGGGGCCTCCAAGCCCTGACTGCCAGCACCCCTCTGTTAATGCCACAATGGACTATTCCTTTAAGACGCTGATGCACAAACAGGAAGTGATTGGTAGTCATTCCACTCCAATCCAGGTGGTGGTGGTAATGCACCAAATTGTTATCTGCCAAGTGCCATAAGACCACAAATAAGGATAAGAAGAGAAAACAAAAGAAGAAGAAGAGAGGTGGGAGCGTTCGCAAAAAAACTCAAAGCGGTAGTCAAAACATGAAGCCTGAAATATCCTAGTGGCTCCAATTAGAGAAAGAAGCAACTTGCTTCACAAAAGCTTTTATCTTCACTTCCGAAAGTGATGTTTTCTATGTAAACATCAAAAGGAAGCAGAAAAGGAAAGACAATAGAAAATGTTTAAAGGGAGGAAAACATAGACCAAAATGGAAAATAGAAAAAAAAAAAAAAAAAAAAAAAAGCACAGGAGCACCGGCAGGAAGAAGAAAGCAGAGCAAATATTGAAAGCGCTCAAAGGGAGAGAAAGACAGGAAAAAAGAGGAGGACTAATAAAAAGTGTAAATAACTCATGTCAGAAGAGGGGAGAGTTTCACAAATCCAGTTACAGGTAAGATTGTCGAAAATTTAGAGTAAGGGGGCCCATGTCTGTGTTCGCCTTGGGCCCCCAAATTGCTAAACCTGCCACTGGTTATAGAAAACAGCAACAGATCCACTTTAGCGTCTGTTGTGGAAAAGTTCTGTTTGTAACGTAAGTGTGTGTGCGTGTGTGTGTGTGTGTGTGTGTGTGTGTGTGTGTGTGTGTGTTTCAGACCTCGTTCCCCACATGGGATGGCCGAGCTCTGTCTACCAAATCCACTGTGTCAGTGAGCAAATTGGAAATGCCAATTTCACTTTCCTCTGCTCCGCATCTTGTCTCTGCCTTCCCCTCATCCCACCACTTAGCTTATGTTTAAATGAATAAGGTCCCTTCACGCACATGTCAGTGTTCGATTTGTGTCTGCTCCTCTGGCCGTCTTAGCACCTCCACGACCTGCTCATCCTTCTCCTCATCTTCTTCTTGTCAACTGTCCTGTCTTATCTCCCTCCATATCACTCTGCTCATCTCCTCAGCCCGGTTCCCGTTCCTCTAAGCGCGTTCAACTGTAACCCATCTTCTGTGTGTGTGTGTTTATGAAATATGTCTGTTTTGGAAGATTTGGATTTATGCATGCATGTGTTCTGGGGCAGCATCGCTGTCTGCATAGAACAAGTCTGGGTGAATCACTATGCAAATGAAACAATTTCTCACACAGTTCCCAATTTGCATTGAATTCATTATAAATCAACAGTCTTCTTACACTCTTTGTCTCTCTGGTTTTCTGTTGCAGTACGACTACGAGGGCAGCGATATCAGTGACCTGCCGGTTGACCTCTCTGTGGTGTGGAATGGAAACTTTGTCATCGACAACCCTTTCAACATTCAAGGTAGAGCGGTTGTGCTGCAATGGAGACCTTTGTGATTCCTCCTCCTCCTCTTCTTCTGCAGGGAAATGCCGCTTGTTCGTTAGCCTGCAATGAATTGGTGCAAAGCACCAACGATGTGTGCAGTTTACTGCAAAAATAAGGTGAAAGTGTGCTGTTGATCTCTCTAATGAAAGAAGAGCGGATAGAGGGTGATGAGAACAAACATCTAATGTGGAAGTGAATGGGGATGGATGTTGGGCAGGAATAACAACAACTAGCTGTAGGATGAAGTCAAAAAGACTGACGGCTGCATGACAGAATGATGAATGCACTACATATTGGCAGAGGGTTGACTTAAATAAAGGGATGATAAAGAAAAACACAAAGCGACACAGAGGGATGGTACTTATGATTTTTAATCACTATTTGTGCATGAAGTGGAAAATAATTACTCATTTTTTAATTCTTCATCAAGTGTAATACATTGGGTGGTGGAGGCTAATGATTTTAGACGTCCCATTACACAAGATAATGCAAGTCTCGCTCTCAAGTGTGTCGTGCAGTCTTTTTCTCTGAACGCGTGGAGTCAGATTAACTAACCGTCTCTAATCTTTTAACTTCTGTTAGTTTCTTTCATCTTCACATTTGCATCTAATTTCCTTGCATTATCTCATCCTAATGTTAACACGCTGCAGGTTACAAATATAGCTGAGGATTGGTTTTAAGGCCAAGCTCACTGAGAAATAAGATCAGTCACCTTGAGTTTAATATGCAGGCTAAACGTGAAAATGGCCTTCTGCTCCTGTTTCCTGCATTAGCCGCGAAAAACAGATGGGGAAACTCTCAGATTAGAAAAACCAGCATATTATTCATGGAGTCTTCCATCTTGCCTCACAACAGGGAAGGCTGTTGTTTGTTTAGTGTCCAGGAGAGAGCTGAGCGTGCGTGTCTCACCTAGTAGAAGCTAACTGTTAGCATTAGCAACTCCACCACACAGCAAAACTCCTGCCGGCTTGGATGTTGCAGGGCAAATAGTCAGTGGTACAGTTGTGTTGCTGTTAGCCAATCAGAGGAGAGATGTTGGAATATCAGGAAGTAAGATTCCAGGTTCTGCCGTCTTCTGCTCAACTCGCCTCTGGCTCACTTCTAATTTCTGAAACTGGAGCGCAAACGCTTTTGTCCCCACAGAAGTCGACTCAAGGACCTCTGAGAATGTGTTGGTTTTGAAATTTGATCTTTTAGGTTGCAAATAAATTGTCATTAGAGGTTAAACAGCGTTTCTTGTAATGAAGTTGATCATTTTTATATTTTCTAGGATACACTTTCTTATTTCCATTTGCTATGGTTTGGTAATCAGTTCTCATCCAATTAGGGTCTTCCCATAGCAGCAGTCTCCAAATCCTCAACTTTTTCCAAATGGGGTAAAATCCTGAAATTTTAAATAATTAAACGCATCAAACTGACGAAAAACATCTGGGTTGAGGCATGAAACAGAAAGTGACAAGTTCATGAATAAATATACAGTCAACTAATGAATTAATGAGTTTATTATTAATTCAATCAATGACAATAAAGTAGCCAGTGAAGATGAAGAGTCTGAATTTTTTTAAAGCACAAGTTTGCAAGATTCACTCATGTGTAACAGCAAGCCAGACTGGAAATTAAATAATTTATTTGAAAATCAATACAGTTTAATTGTATTCAGAGTTTTCTATACATCAGCCTGCATCAGGGTGTAGGCCTGTGCGTGTTGTTGGAGCGCCATAAACAATTTATGACTCTGCAGTGCTTAAGTGGTGTTTGTGATTAGAACCCAAAAAATGAAAAGAAGGCAACCCTTTAAATATTTACTTAGGGTTGTGGTGAATTGAATAAATGAAATAAAATAAGACGGGTAAAAAACGTCAGAAATGCAGGAGAATCTTCTGAAGCTGACACGTGGATACTCAGGGGGGATAACTAAAGTGCAGGACGGGTCGGAAGAACAGAGTTGGTAAACAGAGAGACTAACAAAGGAAGTGAGGTAGACAGCGACTGTAAATACACACTGGGCCTGACAAGACACGGGTGAAACAATCAAGTCAATTACAGGGGCAGGCCAGCAGAGGAAGTAAAACAAGACCCAGCATCCAGAAACACAAAATCAAACTGAACACCGGGGCTTACAGAACCCAACAGAACCCAGAATCCAGGCCTGGGTGGAAAATATGGAGCCACGTGGTCAAAAAGAAAAAGTCTTGTGAGGAAAATAGGATTGTTTAAATTACCTTTCAGCTAATTGAAAATTGTTTTGCCACATACTATATATATTATAACTGATGTTCATTGTAAATATGTCCCTGCGTGGCGTCTGGAGAAACGGTGAACATCCCGCAAGACCGATGAGCCGACAGATTTTGTGTCCTAAACCAGTTCCAGTGTCCAAATCCTCACAGCGGTTCAGGTGATCTTAGTTTAATAATCTGTATACCATCAGTTTAGCATTGCATGGATAATTCTGCACAAATATTAAACTCCAGCTGGGCTTGACCTCTGGATTGACTGCTTCATTTTGCTGCTGGTGAAATAAATAATAGTAAATACGTAAAATCCCATGTCCTTCGGTCCTGACAAACATTTTAAACAACATTTTAGGACAAAAAAATATTCAAAAGTGCTTTTATTGCTATTTAACTTTTTTTCTGCAAGAACAAATCAACACTAAGACCCATTTTTCAATAGGTCATCAACAGTTTTTGATGTGTAGAGTTCAGTTAGCATTAGTCAGTGAAAACTTAGCACTCTGTGCAAACATCGTACCTGCTTGTGAGGTCAGCAGGCAGTCAGCTGAAACACAAACTGTTCATTTTCTTTGTTTACTTAACAGAGAATCATTTGCACGCTTTATTTTTGTTGCTTCATCTGTAAAGTAATTTTCCAGCTCTGTGCTGGCAGACGACGTAGAAATCAGAGCAGGAAACGTGTCCAAAGTAGCCAAAGAAGGGCTTGATTCTACATGATCAGTGCTCACTAGTCCAGAGAAACCGGCTGTAATTGCTCAAATCCAAATGGCAATTTTTCCACTAGAGAGCAAACACATTAGAGAAAGCACTGTGTAATTCTACGCAGCTGAATGAATCAGCCATATCCGTGGTGTGGAGGCATTCACAAGTCTGGACTTGGGGAAAGCGATCTGTAAAGAAAACAATAATGGACAACCCTGATGTTTTACTGTTATCACTCATGTAAACAAAAACTTTCTCGGATTTCTGCAGAGAGTTTGGACTTAAAATAAGCTTTATATATATATATATATATATATATATATATATATATATATATATATATATATATATATATATATATATAGTGTTTGCATTCCATAGCGTAACTCCCAATACTTCACGGGACAACCTTTGGCTGCCAAAAGTGAATCCAACGCAGAAGCAACAAAAATTGCAGTTCCCTCGTCGTCCTTTAGGGGGTGGCTGCAGAAAGGAGCAAGTACCCATTGACTCCCATGTTAAAGATGCTGACACCACAGCAGAAATAAACATGTTTACAGCCCGGTACAAAAAACATCTTTAACTCATTCACTGCCAGCCGTTTCCTGATTAGAAAGCCCTACGCTGCCAGCGATTTTCAGCGTTTTTACTGTTTTTTTAAGAGTCACAGAACGTTGCGCGCTAGGATGATGTCAGCATCAAAACTACCAAAATAAAGAGTAGACTCACGTCTTACATCAGGAAGAATCTGCGCGTTTCGAGTGTAGTACGTTCTTTCAGAATCCGTTGTTGAATTGTGATCGGCAGAAGCTTTTCCGGTTCGCGCCTCACTTTATTTACAGCAGCGGCCCAAAACGATCTCCTAACACATGGATGTTCTGCTTCCTGATCACGTGACGGATGCGGATGAAGATCGGCTTTAGAACCGGGATGTTTGTTCTCACGGTGCGGGGGCTCGTTCCGACTCTCAGCTCCGTTTTTTTTTTTTTTTTTCCGGGAGTGACGATATGTACGACACCGCCATGATGGTGGTGGAACCGCCCACTTGGCTTCAATTCAAATCTATGGGAGGTGGCGTGTAGGGTCGGTCCATGATTATTTAATGGGACTTTACGGACTTTTGAATTTTTATGCTTGCGATTGCCCCCTCAGGCCAAAAGCGTAATGGCAGCTTCAATAGTAGGCTTGTGCACGAGGTGCGCATGCTGTAAGTGCACACTCCTTAACGAAAATAACAGCTGAGACAGTCCCTTGTGTGTGTGTGTGTGTGTGTGTGTGTGTGTGTGTGTGTGTGTGTGTGTGTGTGTGGCCCAGAGGACAGGAGAATGTGCAGCTAATTAATTAAATAATTTGGTTCTGTACCTTTCTCTTCAGCACAGCCGAAAAAGGTTTATGATGGGTCAGTCCTGCATGCTCAGATCATTCCCTTCCCTTGCTTGAAAAATTGTTCCAAAATGAAAGTTGAACCCACATCTTTTTCATCTGTGAATTCAATGCCGTTCGGCGAGTCTCAAATAAAAATTTGGACATCTTACTGTAAAAAAATATACCATTAATGTAAAAAAGAAACTCTAAATAAACTATGTTCACATCCAGAATCAAACCCAGGTCTTCTGCACGAGAGTCCGACGTCTTACAAGGTGACATTCACAGTATCTGTAACATTTCTATCCTTGATGACAGCTGAAACAACGTCAAACCAAAGAACGATTCGAAGCAAAAATGTCTATTTTGTTGCTAATTTGCAGGAAATATCTAGAAGAAAGTTCTACAGAAAGTAGCTAAGGGTCCTCAGAAATGTAGCTAGCTTTGTCACTAGGCGTTAGGAACAGCGACAAAGTGGCACTGCCTCTCTCTCTGCTGCTAAAGCTACGGACAGCAAATGCTACGGGTGATGCCTGAGCGTGAATGCGCATGAAGCAGCCTGCTCGACCCGAGCATCTCTCTTTTTCTGTGATTTTACAGAAAAACAGGCAATCACAGTAAAAATGCCAGGGCTCATTCTACAGGACCAGGGCATTGCAGGAGAACGTATGAAGAAGACATTTATTATTTCTATACATATTTTGGCTGTCACACTTCCATAATGTCCCTTTAAGCAACTGAACATGTATTTTGAAAATTTCAGGATAATTTTCTCCGCTTTCGTGTTTGATCCCCTCTCTGTGTAATTGCTGTGCACGTTTTGCAGACCTTACGGGAAGCTTACCTGTCTGGTGGGAAGTTCATTAAATCTTCTCAAATATATGAAATGAATAGGGACGCCTGATCTTAAAGTTCCAATAGTCTTTACAAACATCATTTATGAACGTGTCCTTGCTCACGAAGACCCTCTCCTCCTCCTCTCCTCTGTTAATCCCTTTTTCGTTCCAACCACATTTTTCTCCTTCTAAATTCCAGCAGCGTTATCCGTTTTGAGGCAGAGCCGCTCTGCGCTGACCCGGCTTTGCTCCGGTGTAAAGTGGAGATGTTAATGTTAATTAAATCATTCATTTGGTCCAGATTAATTAGCGTCGCACTACTTTTAAGCTGAGCCGTAGCTAATCAGATTAGGCCCAGCTGAGGGCCGAGTCAGGCAGATGGAGAGAAAAGAAGCTTGCTTTGAAGTCCACCCGCCGTCTGTCTGCTGAAGAGGAGGAGGAGGAGTGTGGAGAGTCTTTCTGCTTTTTCACTTAACTTCTCTTCAAATCTCTTTATCTGGTGTGACGGCAAACAAACCTGCTGCAGGTGCTCGTGGTGTAGCATTAACTCCGATAATTATGGTGCTGATTAACAGATGACTGATCCGAATCAGAAAACATCGAATGATATTGTTTATTTTTTTGTTTACTTTTGAATCTGCCTCCTCCGTTAGCTTTTGTTTGCTACTTAACCTCCCTCCCTGTTTTTGAGCGCCGTCCCTCCGGTTTTCTCCGAACTTTTCTCCGGTTTCTCTCTGCTCGTCTGAGCCTCGCGGGGCCTCGCCATCTTTGAATTCATAACAGTTCTTGTTGCTGTTTTGTTAACAAGTGCAGCTCAAATGCATCCTCCCCCGTTCTCCCGGCTTACTTTCATCTCCCTCTCCTTCTGCTTCTGAGGTGTTTGAGGTTTCATTTATTTAATTATCTATTTATTATTTATTTTACTTTTAATGACTTTTGCCACTCTGCTGAGAAGGTGGAGGAGCTTTTTTTGTTTTCCTATGCAGCAAATGATCCATTCCCTGTTGGTGTTGGGAGGCAGAACCTGTTAATTCTCGGATATCCCTGTAGGTTAGATTTTCTCTCCCTTTGATGTATCGCTGGAACAAGAACGTTCCCGCCGTCTGAGCCTTGGAGTGTTAATAATCATCTGAAACTTGAAGGCGTTAACGGGGTGATTAACAGAAATTGTTGTATAGGTCATTTAAGATGGGCAAGTTGCTTTTTTTAATAAACACTAAACAACTTTGTCTGGTTTAGCATATTCTGCTTATCATCCTCCATATTGTCTTTTTCTTACTGTTCTTCATCGTCCCCTTTTTTTCTTTTTCTCCTTTCTCGTATTCTTCCTCTCCTCCATCTGTATCCTTTATCTTCTTTTTGTTTGTCATTCTCATTTTCTTCCTCCTTTCTTTCTCTTTGCTCTCCTGTTCTTCGCCTTATTCTTCTTTAACATCTCCTTCTTCTTACTCCTCTTCTTTCTTTTCATCTTCTTTGTCATCATCCAATTCTTCTTGTTTTTCTTTGTCTTTGTTGCTGTCCCATTCTTTAACTTCTCCATCTTTCTTCTTCTTCCCCTTGTTCTTTCCCTTCTTCATCTCCATCGTCATACTCTTCTTCACCTTTATCTTCTTAATTGTTTTCACCTTCTTCCTCTTTTCTTTTCTTCTTCCTCCTAGGGGCTGCATGTCTTAATGTTTTTTTAAAGTTGACAGTCAAGTAATGAAAATCGAGTCGACTGACTAATCATTGATGATGTCATACACCTGAAGCGGCTAAAACTGCCGATGGGTGAATTGCGCCCAGATTTTCAAAGTTAAACACATCTCTTTTAACAACGGTAGTTTTTGCATCCTTACTGTTCCCCTGCGTCAGGCCCCCCCGTTCCTCACTTCTGATTACCTTCAATGGTGTCTGTTTGTTGCAACCGCCAGGTACAAAAACTAACTTTTTTATTTGACTATTTTTCTGTCCTGTCTGTTTATCTTTTTATTAATCTTTTTCAGGATTTTATTTTTTGCTTTTATTCTCCTCTTTTAATTGATTTTATGTTGGTTTTACGATTGCTATATTTTATTCTGATGGGTTTATGTTTTTATTGTGTTGTGTTCAGCACCTTGGGCGTCTGCATTGGTCGCAGAAGGGGCTTTATAAATAAATGAAATGAAAGTGAATTATCTTCCTGCGTCTCCTCTCAGTCCTAAAGAAAAACTGCTACCTGGCTTCATATATATTCACCTCATGAGTTACCTTTGAACTGCAGTTCTAAAAGATCTACCGACCGCAAAAACAGCAGAGTGCGCGCTGCTTGCCGGCCGCACCGGTGAGGTGCGTCACCGGAGAACAAAACAGGTGATGCGCTCCGCTCCACAGCAGCGAAACACATCAGGCACAAATAAAAGACAGAAAACATAAAAGGAAATGAGCCGACATGAACGATCGCGTGTTAAACTTGTTTTTGAGGTGGCGACACCTGATTTGATAATGTTACTGTGGCTGTGCTCAGGACGCAGATGTCTGGAGCGCGTCAACGATCAGAGCTTTGCATGCGCAAGCTGGCCAAGGTTGGGGTGGGGGTGAGGGGAAGGTTAAATTGCAAGAGGGTAAAGGTCACAATTCGGTTAAATGTCCGTTTTACCGCGGATACTCTGGCACAGCAGGGGCTCGTCACCTGCTGTCTTTTCCGAGGACTGCATCTTGTCGATCATCATCTCGTGACAGCGACTAGTCTATGAAAGGCATAACAAGTCACTACAGAGCAGTGAAGTCGACTAGTTGATACAGCTCTCTACTTCCTCCTCTTCTACCTCTTTATCCTCTTCTTCTTTGTTGCCATTTTCATTATTTTCTTATTTTTCCTTCTTCCACCTCTCCCCTTGTTCATTGTCTTCTTCTTTGTTTTTCTTCTTTGTTTTCTTCACTATCTTGTTCATCATCATCATCCTCCGCCTTCGTCTTCTTTTTCTTCATTATTATTATTAGTAATAAAAATTATTATTATTATTATTATTATTATTATTATTATTATGGCCTTTCAAATGCAGTTGAACCAATTTGTTGTCTGACTTAAACATGTTTCTTCTTTTTTACCTTCATTATTTTTCCATTCAGTGAAAACTGAAACCATTATTTCTCTTTCCTCTTTACATTTTACTTTCAAGCCTCTAATTTATTTCTTATTTCTGGTATTGATTGTTTGGTACATTTCTTATTAACCTGTTGTGTTAATTTGTGGCACAAAGAACCTACAACCACTGCACGGCTCCAGCGTCACCGCCTCTTCTCTCTGTCTTCCTGCCAGCCCACCTGTACAAGTGCAGGGCGTTGCGGGACAGCTGCGGGATGTGCCTGAAAGCTGACCCCAGGTTTGACTGTGGATGGTGCGTTCAAGACAAGAAGTGCTCCCTGAGGCAGGAGTGTACGGGAGGAGGGAATTCCAACCTGCCGCCGCAGCTGGTTGAAGGTGGAGGGTGGATGCATGCCACATCTGGAAACAGCAGGTGCACTCATCCCAAGATCACAAAGGTAAATGAGTGTGGGAGTTTACACGTGTTTTTTTATGAATGCATAAAGTAGAAAGGACACCAAACGCCATTGTCTATGGAGATGTTATTAGTCAGTGTCTTACCTGCAGTCGAAGGCAGTCAGAAGGATTCTGGCATAAATAATGAGGCATAAAATAAAATCACTTGTGGGAGTTAAACCAGCAACTTGTCAGATTCCATCCATTTAAAAAGATGCCTAATCCGTGTTAAATGTTTACGTCATTTGGCGTTTTTACTGCATGATTGGACACAAAACAAGCCCACCATCCTTTGTCTTTGCTGTTAAACTGACTGATCCTGTTCACATGGCTCCAGTCATATTCGTCTGAAGTATCTTTTAAATGAAAAAATAAAGTGTTTTCTTTGAACACCTCATCTTAGCCTTATCAGCTCGTGAAGACTGTAACGTCACCTGTAGAGATCCAGCGCTGGTAAATCTTGAAAGGATGTTGCATCAGCTCTCTTTGTTTGAGTCCCTGTGGTCACAAAAGCCCTACGTGTCCTGAACCCAGAATGAAAGCTGCTCCATTTTAATGTGCTGCTATTAAAACACTCGCATTAGTCGGGACCTTGTGCCCGCCCTTGGCACATATTACACAGGGTTACATCAAACTGGTCCTCCAGAGGCTAAAGCATTTTTCGTTTAGATTTATTTTCTTACTTTGTTTTTGTTCAGCTTCACTGAAGTCTGTTTTTTTTGTCCATTTGATTTGTTTGTGGATCGTTTTCTACCCCACCTTCTTCGACGTGTTACCTGGTCAAGACGTTTTTGTGGTTGGAAAATGGAACCATTAGGAAATGAGAGCATGCTCCAAGTCTTTACATTAAAATATCCCCTAGACATGGTTTAAATTTGTCATCCAATTATAGTTTTGTTGTTTATTTCAGGCAGATAAGCTGTTAAAGTTTTCTATTGTCTACAGACGGAGCTTTTAATAATAATAATAATGATGCATTGAACTTATATGGACCTTTTTAGGACACTCAAAGACACTTTCACACACTCTCACATTAAAATTAAGTATAAAGCTTGTGGGGAGCGTGCGTTCGCCTTTGCTGCTCCCAGACTCTGGAACGCACTCCCTCTGGTGGTACACCAGGCTTCCTCACTGGCACAGTTGAAATCCAGCCTAAAGACCCAGTTCTTTAATTTGTCTTTTGGCCAATGATTATTCTTTTATGCTGTGCCTCTCTTCTGTTTTTACTGACTTCTGTTTTTATTGACTTCTGTTTTAACTGGCTGTTTTAACTTTTGTTTTGATTTTAGGCGTTTCTGTTTTATGACAGTTTTTAATTTGTGTTTTATGTATATGTATGTGTGTGGAGGATCAGCACCTCCAAATCTGAGGCTGTGGTTCTCAACCGGGAAAGGGTGGCTTCCTAACTCTGGGTTGGGAGAGAGGTCCTACCTCAAGTGGAGGAGTTAAAGTATCTCGGGTCTTGTTCACGAGTGAGGGTAGGAGGGATCGGGAGATCGACAGGCGTATTGGTTCGGCGTCTGCAGTGATGCGGACGCTGAGCCGATCTGTCGTGGTGAAGAGGGAGCTGAGCCAGAAAGCCAGGCTCTCGATTTACCGGTCCATCTATGTCCCAATCCTCACCTATGGTTATGAGCTTTGGGTAATGACTGAAAGAACGAGATCGCGGATACAAGCGGCCAAAATGAGTTTCCTCCATAGGGTGGCCGGGCTCAGCCTTGGAGATAGGGTGAGGAGCTCGGACATTCGGGAGGGACTCGGAGTAGAACCGCTGCTCCTCCGGATCGAAAGGAGTCAGTTGAGGTGGTTTGGGCATCTGGTCAGGATGCCTCCTGGACGCCTCCCTGGGGAGGTGTTTCGGGCATGTCCTGCCGGCAGAAGGCCCCCGGGTCAACCCAGGACACGTTGGAGAGGTTACATCTCCAATCTGGTCCGGGAACGCCTTGGGGTCCTGCCGGAGAAGCTGGTGGAGGTGGTCGGGGAGAGGACGGTCTGGAGCTCCCTAGTTGGGATGCTGCCCCGTGATGTGTGTGAATTTGAATGCTTTTTAAGTTTAACTCTGTGCAGTGCTTTGGTCAGCTGACTTGCTGTTTTTAAATGCGCTACATAAATAAAATTGGATTGGAAATTGGATTGGATTCACACGCCGTTAGTGATGGTAAGCTACTTTGTAGCCACAGCCGGCCTGACAGAGGTGAGGCTGCCATTTGGCGCCGTCGGCCCCTCTGACCACCACCAACACAGGCAAGTTGGGTGAAGTGTCTTGCCCAAGGACACAACAGCAGAATACCCCTGCCAGGAGCTGGAATCGAACCCATGACCCTCCGATCACGGAGCAAACCCGCTCTACCACCTGAGCTACAAGTTTACTGAGAAACAATTGTTTACTTGTTTATTTTGAAATATGAGTTTAACATGCGGGCTAAACATGAAAATAGTCTTCTACCCTGATTGCATTCTTAGGTTATTTTTGTAAACACAGGAAAGGTTGTTTTCCTTTTTGCTGACAGGTTCAACCATTCCTGCGGTCTTCCTCACAGCCTTCTACCCCTATTTCCTGTATTAGCCTCCTATAGAAAATAGATGGGGAGATGCTCTGATCAGAAAAGCCTGACAGATCTACGCCACATCGTCTAACATTCGTGGACTCGCCCATCTTGGCTCGAGAAGGGAGAGGTTGGTTTAGCGTCCAGGAGAGGGCAGAAGATAACTATTAGCTTTAGCAACTCCACAACTCATGTAGGCTTGTGTTATTAGTGGAGATCAAATGTCAGCGCAGTCCGTGGTAGAGTCGTGTTGCTGTTAGCCAATCAGAGGTGAGCTGTCCCAATATCAGGAAATAAGACTAGGAGAGGCGGCTGCAAATTAAGTTTAAAAGCTGGTGGTCTTGAGTCACCACACATCTCGTTGACAGAAGCATTACAAAAGACACACAAATCATGGAGCATTAATGGAAGTAAAAACAATACAGTAATACAACTGCTTTTCTACTTTATACATACGGCCAAGATCGCTCTGCTTCCCTGCCCCTGAACGGGGACAAGTGCATATGCATAGGCAGATGGAAAGTTCATCTGGTGTTGCTGTAAAATGAATAAAACATCTACAGTATTTCCTTTCATTTTGTTTTCATCCTCCAAATCTTAGTTTCCAACACTCCGAGTCTTCTCTTGTGTGCCACTAAAATGTGTACTTGCACAGTTTAGTGTGTAAATATTTACACCCCTAAACAGATTAAATATTGCATGATTTTTTTCTGTTTATGCCCCCCGCGCTTCACCAGACCAGATTACTTGGTGGAAAACCTCGGTTTTAGTTCACATCTCTGCTTCCATTTGTCTCAACAGGATTTTGTCCCAAATGCTGGGATTTCCTGTTGTCTGGATCCCGTCGAGCTGAGTGCATGTGGTGGCAATTTTCAGAAAACAATATTTCTTCCCATCTAGTCTGGGTTGTATATAAACTGAAGCTGTGTTTATAAACCCCCCCCCCCCCCCCCCCCCATTTACGCATTTAACTTTTATCTGTAAATCAAAGAAAAGAAAAACACTTCTATGATTTTCTCTCTTTATTTCCTTTCAGCTCTGAGAGATGATGTCCGTGTTTGTGGTACTATTATCCCAAATTAATGGCAAAGTTATAAGAATGGTTACGTCAGGATTTCCATCCATCCATTTTCTTCCGCTTATCCGGAGTCGGGTCGCGGGGGCAGCAGTCTAAGGCGAGAGGCCCAGACTTCCCTCTCCCCAGCCACTTGGGCCAGCTCTTCTGAGAGAATCCCAAGGCGTTCCCTGGCCAGTTGAGAGACATAGTCCCTCCACCGTGTCCTAGGTCTCCCTTTAGGTCTCCTCCCGGTTGGACGTGCCCAGAAAACTCACCAGGGAGACTCCAGGAGGCATCCTGACCAGATGCCCGAGCCACCTCAACTGGCTCCTCTCGATGTGGAGAGGCAGCGGATCTACTCCGACCCCCTCCCGGATGACTGAGCTCCTCACCCTATCTCTAAGGGAGAGCCCAGCCACTCTGCAGAGAAAACTCATTTCGGCCGCTTGCATTTGCGATCTCGTTCTTTCGGTCACTACCCAAAGCTCATGACCATAGGTGAGGGTAGGAACGTAGATCGACCGGTAAATCGAGAGCTTTGCCTTCTGACTCAGTTCTCTCTTCACCACGACAGACCAGTACAACGCCCACATCAGTGCAGATGCAGCACCAATCCGCCTATCGATCTCACGCTCCAGCTTTCCCTCACTCGTGAACAAAACCCCGAGATACGAGATAGGATTTCCGTTCCATTATTTCTGAAATATTTCACATTTTCATAAAAAGGAGTTGCAGAATAAAAGAGAATCTTTATTCTGTAGTACATTTCCCCAGGGCCTGGTACCCATCATGTGTCTTCTTTGGTGATTGTGTTTCCCTGTTTCCTCTGAGTCCCCCCTGGTAGTAATCACTTTAACAGCACTCTTTATTTCTCTACCTGTGTTGCCTCTGATTCTGTGGCTCCAGCAGTGTTTATGTCCCAGGGCTGCAGAGCCAGCCGATGTTGTGATTTGTGGTGACAGAGTCTTTCTTACAAACCCGTCCGAAGCCATATTTCCACACTGTGACGTGTCGTCTGAGTTGTACCATGAAGCCCAATCTCTACATGCTCCGGTCAGCATGCACCCACTGTTGGGTTTGGAGGACCAAAGAGTCGGGTCTCTTCTGGCACCTGAAACTCCAAAGTGGGATGGCTTCCTCATGATAGGCAGGCATATTCTGGGTATTTTTTTTCTCTCTCTGTGTTTTAATACAGGCCTGAAAAACTGATTTCTAAGAAATCCCTGAAATGGTTCAGAAATGCTCCTTTCTGGATAGCCTGGTGAAATTCGTGCCATGAAGGTCCGGTAAAGTTACCCAGAGGGTGCGGAAGTAGAGACTAACCTCTAGAAATGATACATTATGTGCTAATCTAGAAGAGTTCATTAATGATGATGCCCATGGGTGTGATACACAGCAAAACTGATTCATAGGAAAGTTAAAAAGCTTAATTTTCAGACATTTTATCTTACTTTTAGTCTTAAAAGAAAACAATTCTTACCTAAATAAATAGTAAAATAAGGTAAATATTCCTAAATATAACCCGAGTACTGTCATTGGGGTAAGCAAAGGTTTTCTTGGCTAGATTTCTTAAAACTAGTAAAAAAAATCTAACATGAGATTCTTCTACAAGTTTTAAGAATTCAAGACAAGCAATTTTAACTTTCTCCATTGGAAATTTTTCTTTTACGCATCTTATTGAAGAATATTTACCTTATTTTAAGTGCTTTTCTAGTAGGGCTGGGCGATATGGCCTAAAATCAAAATCACAATACAGGTCTGTCTCAAAACATTAGTATATTGTGATGAAGTTCATTATTTTCTGTAATATGCAGTACTGATAAACATTAGACTTTCATATGTATTAGATTCATTACACACAACTGAAGTAGTTCAAGCCTTTTATTGTTTCTAATATTGATGATTTTGGCATACAGCTCATGAAAACACAAAATTCCTATCTCAAAAAATTTGCATATTTCATCCGACTAATAAATGAAAAGTGTTCTTAATACAAAAAAAGTCAACCATCAAACAATTATGTTCAGTTATGCACTCAATACTTGGTCGGGAATCCTTTTGCAGAAATGACTGCTTCAATGCGGCGTGGCATGGAGGCAATCAGCCTGTGGCACTGCTGAGGTGTTATGGAGGCCCAGGATGCTTCGATAGCGGCCTTAAGCTCATCCAGAGTGTTGGGCCTTGCATCACTCAACTTTCTCTTCACAATATCTCACAGATTCTCTACGGGGTTCAGGTCAGGAGAGGTGGCAGGCCAACTGAGCACAGTAATACCATGGTCAGTAAACCATTTACCAGTGGTTTTGGCACTGTGAGCAGGTGCCAGGTCGTGCTGAAAAATGAAATCTTCATCTCCATAAAGCTTTTCAGCAGATGGAAGCATGAAGTGCTCCACAATCTCCTGATAGCTAGCTGCATTGACCCTGCCCTTGATAAAACACAGTGGACCAACACCAGCAGCTGACATGTCACCCCAGACCATCATTGACTGTGGGTACTTGACACTGGACTTCAGGCATTTGGGCATTTCCCTCTGCCCAGTCTTCTTTCAGACTATGGCATCTTGATTTCCGAATGACATGCAAAATTCGCTTTCATCTGAAAGAAGTACTTTGGACCACTGAGCAACAGTCCAGTGCTGCTTCTCTGTAGCCCAGGTCAGGCGCTTCTGCCGCTGTTTCTGGTTAAAAAGTGGCTTGACCTGGGGAATGCAGCACCTGTAGCCCATTTCCTGCACACGCTTGTACACGGTGGCTCTGGATGTTTCTACTCCAGACTCAGTCCACTGCTTCCGCAGGTCCCCCAAGGTCTGGAATTGGTCCTTCTCCACAATCTTCCTCAGGGTCTGGACACCTCTTCTCATTGTGCAGGCTTTTCTGCCACACTTTTTCCTTCCCACAGACTTCCCCTTGATACAGCACTCTGGGAACAGCCTATTCGTTCAGAAATTTTTTTCTGTGTCTTACCCTCTTGCTTGACGGTGTCAGTGATGGCCTTCTGGACAGCAGTCAGGTCGGCAGTCTTACCCATGATTGCGGTTTTGAGTAATGAACCAGGCTGGCATGATTTGCTAATTTTTTGAGATAGGAATTTTGGGTTTTCATGAGTTGTATGCCAAAATCATCAATATTAGAAAAGGCTTGAACTACTTCAGTTGTGTGCAATGAATCTAATATATATGAAAGTCTAAAGTTCATCAGTGCATTACAGACAATAATTAACTTTATCACAATATGTAAATTTTTTGAGAAGGACCTGTATATTGAGGATTTCACCTTGGTAACGATAAATGGACGATAACTACAGTTTTCCACTAGATGGGGCTGTCACATGTGTGAAGTTGAGTCAAATTTTTACGTCACTCATCGTGGTACAGCTTCTTAAAGAGACTTGAGTGTTGCTAACCCACACATCTTTTCATTTTTTTCATTATCAAATTTGTTGACATGGGAAAAACAATCTCGATAAGAGTCAGAAATTTTGATGACGATACATTTTTGATTTATTGTCCAGCCCTATTTTCTAGCTAAGATTTAAAATCAGGCGTTCTTAAAAAGAGTTATTGCTGTGTATCACAACTGTGGTCATCATCATTAGCTCTTCTACATAAACAAACACCATCTAAATGCTCGTTTCCACCACCAGAGCTTCTGGGTAATTTTGCCAGACCTTCGCGTCATACGTGTCTCCATCCATACAGTCAGAAAGGACCCAATTCTGGACCATTTTAGGTACCAACTGAATAACTGAATTGGGAGATGTAATCACAACTGGCTTGGTAGAGTTGCAGAGTGGGACTTGTGGTTAACTCGTGTAGACTGGTTGTAACTCGGTAGGAAATTATTTCAACAGATTGCCAAACAACCGACATTTATGAACTTGGATTTGTTCCTTGTGAAGCAGAGTGGAAGGAAAATAAAATAAGCAGCATTAATGTAGCTTTAAAATCGTCACTTCTAAACTTCCAATGTCAAAAATGGCGGTGGAATCCCCCGACAACAGCGGCTGAGCGGAACGAGCAGTCGTATTTTCCCTGTCACCTTCCAACCCCCTCAGAAATTTCCAATATTGACATCGTTATTGGAAACAGCTTATTTAGTCTTTAATGAATGTGACTCAGTAAAATGAATCTCTTTTTGGTACCGGGGATTGTGATGCTGCCAAACATGTATTTTTCTTCTCACAACAGGCTGTGTGATTTTTCTGGCAGCCTGTTATAATAATGTTTGGTTGCTTTTTTGGCAAGAAATATTGAATTTGACAGGATTAGGTTCCCATATGTTTATTATTTATGTGATTATAGTCTCCTTTAAAAGACTTATAATGGGACGTTTGACTTAAGGAAACATTGTATTATGTCATGATACTGGAAACTCAAAAATGTTAATTTTTTGTACTTTTTCAATATTTTGTTTGAGAAATAATATATTATACTACTAGATTTATTTTATTCTTGTATTTTTCTTTTTAAATTCAAATATTTTACAGTACTTTGTCCAGGGTACATCAAGCAACCTTGATGTATTTTTTTTTCTAGTTTAAAAATATCTTGAAATTCAGCCAGTAACAGATGTCATAAAGCCAAACGGGAATATTTTTAGTTAATGGAATAAGGAATTCAGAGTTACACTTCATCACATTTTTCACGGTGGGGGTGTTAGGGTTGGATTTTGTGAAAAGCTCATGACCATCTTTCTCATTTGTTGTAGGTTGAACCATCTTGCAGATATCAGTTTCCATCATACAGCATTAAACACCAAAGTTTCATAGCAGTTTGTCCTAATTACCTTTATAACTTTAACATTGCCATAAATGTCACTTTTTATGGTTATTCTTGCAGAATTATCATATATATTTATTATTTTCTTTCTATTTGTATGTGTGAAGCTTAGTAAACCGGTTGCTTCCATACTTACTTATTCTAATCGTTAAAGCTAGACATTTACTCTCCAGTTCTTCTAGTTGAGTTGTTCAACATCCAGCATTTTTTGTAATTTATGAGTTCAGATCCCAGTTTATAGCAATTAGAATTGTTGTCTTGCTTTTTGGGTACCAGTCTTGTCTGTTGAGGTTTATTTTTGCTACTTTTTCTGGTCCAGAACCAGTTTTCTGCCACTCATCCCTCCCCCATCTCAACTGTTACGAGTCTTGTACGGCAGTAGCAGGGCAGTGGACTGATTACACGTAATTACCTCGTGATGCTTGTTAGGGAACAGGTTTGGTGTGTGTTCATGCTTAAAGTGTGTGTGCATGTTTGTGACAAGCAGTGTTCATCAGTCTCCATATTTGTTTTGTCACACCACACCTGTCCCCGTTACGCATCGTAATCTGGCTAGATAAATCACATTATGGTTCGTCGACGCGACTGAGTGCCGAGCCGCCACATCCACCGTGATGAAGCCAAGCTGCCGTAATAAGTTTCAATCAAATTCAGAGGACGGCAGTTTAGTTTTTTTGGTGACTGTAGACACCCCCCCCCCCCCCCATTTAATTTGGGTGTTTTTAGGCCAATAGAGTGATTCATCTTCATTTAGACTGGAACTATCAGGTAAGATAGGGGAGGGAGCTCCTTGTTCTGCTAGTTTTAATGCCAGAGTTAGTACGACAGTGTCATGTTTAAATATGACGTTCTTGTGTAAAATAGGTCAAATCAGGAGCAGAGTTTAACATGTTTTACCAATTTTCTGGCCTTAATTTGGGTTTGTATTACTTAATCTGTGCAAATTTTGCATATGCTGTTCCAAAATGTCTCAAAAACATCAAAGCATCCATTCTTCACGTCTGCCCTCCATGTTCTCCAGTTGTCCCCTGAGACGGGGCCTCGTCAGGGAGGAACCAGGGTGACCATCCTGGGGGAGAACCTGGGTCTGCAGTTCAGAGATATCCAGATGGGTGTCCGGTTGGGGAAGGTGCCCTGTGTCCCCGTCAAGGAGGAGTACGTTAGCGCAGAAAGGTGAGCTCCTGAACAGACTGAAACAAAAACACCTGAGTAAGTCTTTAATGGCCAGTCAGAAATGTGTTTCTGTGAAGACGCTGCTTCCCTCAGCAGTCAAATCAACGTGGCAGCAGTTTGTGTGTTGGTCCTTTTCGGTTTGCTCCCATTACTCCCTACATGTGCGCTTTCCTTTATTTTTCCCATCCCTCTGTCCTGACATTTACTCCTCTGCAGGGCCCTACACGGCTGACGAATTGAGTTCACGCAGATCAAACAATCTCCCTGAAGTGCCGTTAGTTGGGAAATGATGCATGTTGAGATAGAGGGCATCTCTATTCAAAAGTTGCTCACACATTTGTCATTCTGCACATTATTCTTGTCACCCCCCTCCCCGGACTCCTTCCTATTGGGTTCTTGCATTATTCTTTTTCCCCTCTGAAGTACCTCTTTGTGTGAGGCGCTTCACTGCCATCCCATCTGCACAAAGCCCACCATGATTGTCCGACTGGCGATTTTGTCTTTTTGCAGGATTGTGTGTCTGCTGAACGATGCCACTGGCTACAGAGTCCAAGAAGCTCAGGTGGAGGTTTGTGTGAGGGACTGCGTCAACGACTATAGAGCCCTGTCACCAAGGCCGTTCACCTTTGTGGTAAGGAGAAGTTGGATTGAGTTTGACACAGAGGCTTTTGTGGGAAGTAAAATACAATTCCAAGGAAATTACAGTCAAACACTGTGGTATTCAAAAGTGTTTGCGTTTGAAAAGTACAGGGAAAGTATTTCAGTATGTTTGTAGAAATAAAACTGGGTTGTTTTAACAAATTTGGGAGTTTTATTATGTTTTAAATTTTTCATGAGATGATTTTTAGTGAGAAAAATAAAGATTTATAAACCTGATACTTCTATCTTCACCCTTTTGTTGATTTTTTTCATTTATCTTTTATGTTTTTAGGTAGTTTTTGGTCATTTTAAAGTTAGCTTCATGTAAAATGACTAATTTGTACCTTTACACCTCAGCTAATCCAAGCAAAGCGAAGACCAAAATGCATTGACGCATTTATAAAACAGAAAAAGCCTTCCAAATTTCCTCGTGCTTCATTCAAATGTTAATATATGAACCTTTGCACTGCTGTTAGTTGTATAATACCTGGTTATTTTATAAGCAGCATCAGTAAATTATTGCTGGATGTGATCGTAAGAACATTTTACTGCTAACTGGCACAGCAGTAGCTCAGGAGGTATGGTTGTCCAGTGATCAGAAGGTTGCAGGTTTGTGCTTGTTGTGTCCTTGAGCAAGGCACTTAACCCATCTTACCTGCTGGTGGTGCCAGTGCTCTGCAGCCTCGCTTCCCCAGAGCGCCCCAGGGCAGCTGTGGCTACATTGTTGCTCATCCCCACCAGCTTGTGAATGTGTGTGTGTGTGTGTGAACTGCTTGTGTTGTGAGGGGGCCTTGGGGGATTGCAACACTCTAAAAAGGCGCTATACAAATACAGGCCATGTACCATTTTCTAATTTTCATATTTACAATTGTAAAAAGCGATTTAATGTGTCACATCAGTCCGAATGAATATACATTTTCTCTGCATTCAGTCCGTTCATAACGTGGTCTACAACAGGAATGATGACTATTAATCGTAACTTTTAAAGCGATACTTTGCAGTTTTGGCTTGCTTTTAGCACCCCTTGTGTACATTAGTAAAACCAAAAGAAAAACGCATCTCCTTGCTGTGTGTTTGTCTTTTTAACGCCTTAATCTAACTGCTGAAATGCCTCCTCAGCCTTTTTTAGTTTCTCCAGGGGCGGTTAATCACTAAATTAAACACATTACCTGTGTTTATAATCTAAAGCATGAAGGAAATGTGTTGGAAGTGGACTGCAGCCCCAGATATGTCAGCTCCACTTTTACAAGTCCAACAGGGACCGGCACTCTGAAGTTGCAAGTGCAGTATTCTGGCCACAGAAGGCGGTGCGGGTCTGAGTGACATTACATTAACCCTGTAAAGGGCCATTTCAGCACATACTGGTTTAAGAAAGTTATTTAAAAATGTGAAAAAGTTGCATAGTATGGCTTTAACAGAAAAAATGGCTGAAATTTTCCATTCAGAAATCATGGTTAGTCCTTTTATTGGTCATATACGAGTATTGTTTATGTATGTCATGCCAAATTTGTCCAGTTTGTAAATAAATTACCAGCCTTTTTTTCACCTTTGGTTATAAAATATTTTAAAGGGTATATTGACAGATTTTTGATATTCAAAAATTCTGATGTTTAAGGCTGAATTGAAATTACAAACCAAAAAGGTTTATAGAAAAATGAACAACAAAAGACAACTTATAATCCGTTTTAATTTTGATTTTCTTACAGAGTCCATACTTCACCCGTATCCAGCCTTCTCAGGGTCCTATCTCAGGCGGCACGCGGGTCACAATTGAGGGAAGCTACCTCAATGCAGGCAGCTATGTGTCAGTTAGCATCGGACCCCAACCCTGCCACTTCAAAAGGTAAGAAATTATTTTTAAATATGGAAAATATGTGAAATAGACACCAATTAAAGTATACTCTAGAAAAAGTAATCGAGCACAATGCAGGAAACATAGCTAAACCAGCATTTAAGGATATGAACTAGTGGAAAGGTTTATTTATGAAGTGCACATTTTCGCATGTTACTTTCATGATACACAGAATCAGTTTGTGTGGACCGACACAAGCTTTTGCCCCTAATCTAGTCCATGGAAAAAATATGAAAAAATAAAATAAATAACAAATCCAAACCATCACCGCAGTTTCCTGCATGTCAAATTCTGGATTAGCTTCCCGTGGCTAATCGCTACTGAAGCCACCGTATAGTAGCTTTGATGTCACAGCAGTCGTTTCTGTGCGGCGGTAATCCCACAGACTCCACTTCACAACAACGGTTCCCTCATCTCAATTCAGTATTTATCTGTCACACCCCAACCGTGCTGTCGTGTTTGTGGCATCTCCTGGAGATTGCTAGGTCATGTTTATTCTTTTTTTTTTTTCCTGAATGAGGTTACTATGGTTACGTGATGAGGAACATGTAAGTGTGGACACAAAAGATTCTCTTACCCTTTTTCCTAACTTTCTCGCCACACTTTCTCCCATCTGTGAGGAGACAGTGTGATGTTTGAAAGTTTCCATGCACACCTTCATTTCGTTTAGAACACACATAAACACGGGAACTGTGAAACCTCGACCCAGAAAAGCAGCCACCACTCAACTGTGCTAAATACATATTAGATCATGTAGCTTCTGGAGATGTTCTGAAGACGGAGATTCAAAAATGGTATTTTGCCACTGGGACCTACAAGTATTGACACACATGCAAGCTCTCTACATCCCTTTAAAGATGAGTTTTTTCTTGTAAATTCACCAGTTATAACCAGTGTTGGGAACGTTACTTTTAAAAAGTAATTATAGTAACTGATTACCTTGTCAAAAAGTAACTCAGTTACTCGCAGAGTTACAAGATTATAAAAGTGACTAATTACCAAGAAAACGATCTATTTTGTTACTTTTTTTTTCCATTAAAGAATGCTGTAAAAACTTGTTACCATCTTACTTAAACTTGCTTAATTTATTATAAATTACAATACTGAAATATAAATGACTGGAACATAATAAAATGTATGTCCAAATGTTTTTTTATGAAACTATGTCCAAATGTTTTTTTTATAAAACTGAATAATTGAAATAAATTGACACTTAACAGGAGGAACTACAAACGGGAACACTAGACTAATCCAGATGACTAAAATGTCACTGTGTGATTTAACATAACTGCAAATAAACTCCTTTAGTTAAATTACTGAAATAAATGTCATTTTTCACAGTATTCATATGCTTCACATAATTGTGTGTTTTTAGTAGCATTTCTGTTGCTGCTAATCTAGTAATGGTTAAATAAATAAATAAAATCCTTTAAAATGGCACTAGAAGAGGCACAAATCTGAGGGAGGACTAAACACAGAAGAGCTGAAGCTGGGTGGTAAAGACACACAGGGAGTTCTAATAACACCCGAGTGTCCATGACGTTTGAGACTGATGCAACTAGCGTTACGGCAGGGCTAAAGAGATGATCAGAAACAGATCGTGACGTCTGAGAGGTGAACGGGTGAGCGGACCCTCGGGACGTCCTGCTGTCACGCCAAAAAGGGCACGGCTGCAGATTCACGCCTGCAGCAGCAAATGTGCGGTCTTCCTCGTTCTTCACGGCCATGATGCTCTTGGAAGAAAACATCCGCCTCTTCAGCTCCCGATCAGCTGATGACGGCTTCAACACACCACGCGTCTGAATTAGTAACGCACACATTTTCTTATCAGTAACGGAAACGGCATTATGATAAAAGAAGACGGCAATTCATTAGATTACACGTTACTGAAAAATTATTAGTTTTAGTAACGCCATTATTTTAAACGCCATTATTCCCATCAGTGGTTATAACAGGTCTGGATTTAACCCAACACGGCTTTAAGTCCTCTTCTTAGGTCTCCAACCTTTCCATACCTTTAATTAGTCTTTGGTTAATTATTTTCGAAAAGTTCAAGTCGACTTACTGTGATTCTGGAGATGTTTTAACCTAAAAGGAGACATTCATTGAGAAACCTTGTGACCTATTTTATTTTTGAAATACGATTGGTCACTCTGAGTTTCAAATGCATGCTGAAGGTGAAATTAGTCTTCTACCCCCATGGCCTGCATTAGCCGCCAGAAGAAAATATACGGTGAAACGCTTGATTGTGAAAAAGCCACAAGGATCTATGTCACATTAGAAATTAGCATTCATGGACTCATTCACCTCGGCTTGTAACCGCAGAAGACTTTTAGAGCGGTGCATGTTTCAGCTAATAGAGCTTAACCGCTAGCTTTAGCAACTCTACAAAACATAACACAACAGGACACGTTCAGGCTTGTCTTAATTATGGAAATAAAACATTGTTACATTTTTTACAAAAGATAGAAAGAAGAGTGAAAGGAAGCAGCAGAAGAGTCTCGTTCTGTTAGCCAATCAGAGGCGAGATGTTCACACATCATGAATAACGATGCGAAAGACTCAAAATGTTTGCTGATTCCTGAAAAAAAGAACACCAGAACTTCTTTCAAACTTATAACAAGCATACGCCAACTTTAAAGAAAAGATAATCTCCATCTTTAAAGGGACTTTATGGAGTTTTGAATTTTTATGCTCGCGATTGCCCCCTCAGGCAAAAAACGTAACGGCAGCTTCAATAGTAGGCTCGTGCATGAGGCGCGCATGCTGTACGTGCACACTCCTTAACGAAAATAACAGCTGACAGTCAGCTCCGTGTTTGTGTGTGTGTGGGCCGGAGGACAGAGGACAGGAGGACGTGCAGCTAATTAATTAAATAATTTGGTTCTGTACCTTTCTCTTCAGCACAGCCGACAAAGGTTTATGATGGGTCAGTCCTCCTGCATGCTCAGATCATTCCCTTCCCTTGCTTGAAAAATTGTTCCAAAAAGAAAGTTGAACCCACATCTTTTTTATCTGTGAATTCAATGCCGTTCGGCGAGTCTCAAATTAAAATTTGGGCATCTTACTGTAAAACAATATACCATTAAGGTAAAAAAGAAACTCTAAATAAACGATGTTGACATCCAGAATCGAATCCGAGTCTTCTGCAGCCTGCTCGACCCGAGCATCTCTCTTTTTCTGTGATTTTACAGAAAAACAGGCAATCACAGTAAAAATGCCAGGGCTCATTCTACAGGACCAGGGCATTGCAGGAGAATGTATGAAGAAGACATTTATTATTTCTATACACGTTTTGGCTGTCAAACTTCCATAATGTCCCTTTAAACCAGATTCACAACGACATCAGCATGCTTTATAAAACCACACCCAGATTAAGAAGAATGCACTGTAATATAAAAACAAGGGTGGTCTGGCTCTGACTAAAATCTGATCACTGCCAAGTTTACACGCCGCATGAACACATTATTAGAAGGGGGGGGGGGGGGGGGGACATTCACCCTTTAGGATGAAAAGTTGGCACACTAGTATATTTTAGAGTGTAAGTACTGCTATGTTTGTTTACAGCTCCAGCAGCCATAACTTATTCATTTAACTTAGGGAACCGATCAGATCGCAGGCAGAAATTAAATGAAATAAGCCCTCAAGAATGCCAGAAGAAATTAAAACACCTGTGAAACAGATGTTAAAATCAAGATAATTTGGGTGCATTCTGATATAAGTTCAGAGGGGGTTGAGGACATTAAAATGTGTTCTTCATGTGTGTGAAAGCTCTTCGGGTATTCCCCATTAGAGAGACTGCTTTTAAAATATTGAAAGAGGCATGTGTTTTCTAAAGGTTGGTAATAAGGATCATTGAAGTGCTCATCCTTCTGATTAGGTGTGAATATTAAAGGTACAATATGTAAGAATTCTACAACGAAATAATTACAAAACAGTCTAAAGCAGCAGTACTCAATAGGTGGCTTGTGGGCCACGTCCGGCCCGCGAGCCCTCTCTTTGTGGCCCCTAAACATTGCATGCACCCCCCACCCCTGACGGCTGACCGGGAGGTGTAGGATAAAGCTGAGGAAAATAATCAATGCATGAGATGCAGGTATAAACAATTCTGCATGTAGAAGAGTACACCACAATCAATTATACTGGAATGTAGTCTTGTTATTTTAACAGCGGCACCAGCGCAGCATCCACATGCGTC